AGTTTCCTTCTCTGTGAAATGATAACAATAGCGGCCTCTACCCCCCCCAGGCTTGTTGTGAAGATAACAATGAGGTGATACTGATAAAGTGCTTTGCAAACCTTAAGTGATATCAGTACTAGCTATTATTATTATTATTGTTGTCATTGTTATTGCCATAGAGCAGCAGCATGGGCACAGATGCACAAATGAATAAATACAAAGCACTTTGATTTGGGAAGGGGAGGTCCCCAGGGCCCAGCCAGGCACCAGCTTCTCCTGCTTCCGCTCTGGGCCCATCACAATCTTGTCCCATTTCTACGTCTCGGGAAGATCTTGGTTTCAATTCTTGATTTTGAGGTGAGGTTGGGAGGCTGATGGAGACCTCTTCAGGGCCTGCCAAGGGCTGCCCGTGGGCAAAGCGCCTGAAAGCCTCATGTTGGCGGGGGGGCGGGGGCAGGTATGAGGAAAAATGGTGGCCTGGCAGGTGATTTTGATAGAGCGGCTTTGGATGGAGGCCCGGTTCACCCAGAGACCTATGTCTGCATCCTGATCCCGTAGCCAGAGTTTGCACTCTGGAGCGCACATAGTGTGGCTGCAGCCTGTCCCCCTATCCCACCCCCATCCAGGGCTGAGTGGGAGCCGATTCTTTTCATTTCACAGTCCTCCATAGGTAGGGAGGAAGGGCTTGGCTCCAAACTCAGACTTACTGAATGGACGAAGGAAGTTGTGGGCTGGGGTGAGTGAGAGAGGGATGCCAGCTGGCCAGCAGTGGGAGGGCAGAGGGGCGCAGCTCTTTGTGGGTTGGGGGATTGGCCATCAGGGAACGGCCTCCCTCCCTTCCCTTCCTCTGACGTGGGACAGTAGGCACCTGCTGTGTGCTGTGATGCCAAGAAGGGGTATGTGTATGTGTGTGTACACACATACAATCTTTTTTTTTTTAAAAGGCATTTGGGGTTAAGTGACTTGCCCAGGGTCACACAGCTAGTAGGTGTCAAGTGTTTGGTCTGAGGCTGCATTTGAACTCAGGTCCTCCTGAATTCAGGGCCGGTACTCTATCCACTGTGCCACCTAGCTGCCCCACATATACAATCTTTATATACACGTCTATGCTATATGCACATAATATACATACGGTATTATTTTAAATAACATTTGTAAAGCACTTTGCACACCTTAAGGCCCTTAGATAATTACTATCCACTATTCTTGTCCTTCCCCTGGTCGCAGGCCTTGAGGGCAGGCTCCCTTTACTCCTTGCTTTTTTTTCCTTCCAGTACTTGGCACCCCGGAAGTCTTGTTGCTTGGTGCAGTCACGTCCTCTCTGGGCCTCAGTTTCTCATCTGTCCTAGCTGATCTCTTAGGATCAGCCAAGCAGGTGCTGAGGAAATGGAGATTCCAGGAGCAGAACCCAGTAGAAGGGGGACTGCTGGTTGTGGGGTGAGGTTGGGTGTTCCTTGAGGGGGATGCCTGCTTTTGAAAGGGCCCCCATTTGAACCTGCCTCTAGAGGTCTCTTATGGTTTGGGGATGCCCAGGCGCCCTGTCCACTCACCGCCAGCCTCAGGGTTCCGTCCCTGGCCTCTGCCCAGTCTACCCAAGAGCTGGGCCCTTAGAGCAGTCTGAGAATGTGAGCTGTTCTCAGTGCTGGGACTGCCCGTGAGCAGAGCTGGAACCTGAGGCCTTAAAGAGGCTGTTACATGGTAGGGCGGGCCTCGAACCCATAGCAAACTTTTGTGGATGAAGATACGCTTTTACACGAGGTGTTCCTGGATGGGGGAGTCTCCTGGCCTCACTTTCTTCAGGCAAAGACGATAATTCATCCAAATTCCCTTTCATGGCGGTGACATCTTGACCCCCAGAGAGAGTGTGTGTGTGTGTGTGTGTGTGTGTGTGTGTGTGTGTGTGTGTGTGTACTAAGGGCTTCATTTGCCACAGTTCTTAGTGCAGTGGTCTGGGTATCAAGGGTGCCTAATTAATGTTAGCAATTAAAAACAACCCCAAATCTTAACATCTGGGGAAGACCCTTCCCTTCCCTGGGCCTCAGTTTCCTTATCTGACCTCTAGGGTCCGTTCCAGGTCTCACTCTGTAATCCCGCATGAGCCTGGGCATGGCACTTAACCTCTCTCAGTGCCTGGGTTTCCTTATTTGTAAAACAAAGCGGTTGGACCTGGTGACCTCCCAGGCCCTGTCCAGGTCTCCATCAGTGGTCCCAGGATCTCCCTTGGGAAGCTCCTTTGGGTCAGCCCCGGGGCTGGGTGGAGGGAGGAAGGCACAGCCTTTGGGGAAGGGGTGCCAGAGGCAAGGAGCCCCTGTGGCAGGGAAGAGTGCTGGAGGCCAAAGTTGGAGTGCGTTCTAGAGAGGTCTTTGTCTTTCTTTGTGTCGTTGGTGGTTAGCACAGTGCCTAGGGCCTAGTGGGGGCTTCATGAATATTTGTCAGTGGACTTCGAGGAACTTTGGGTGGGATGAAGACGGAGGGAATCTGGGGGGACCCTGCCACTGTCCTTATCTCCGAGGTGAGGGCCCGATTTCCTGGAAGAGGGAGCTCTGTGCGCCACGGCGATGGGGAGAAGGGTCTCCACTTACGCTGCGTGGAGAGACTGTCTCTCAAATCTCTCTGTGTGTCTGTCTCTCTGATTTCTCTTTCCTTTCTCTTTGTGTCTGTCTGTCTCCTCCTACCCCGGTGTCTTTGTCACGCTCTCTCTCCTTTCTGTCTTTGTCTCTGTCTCTCTCTGATTTCTCTCTGTGCCCACTCTGTCTCTGTTTCTCTGTGTCTCATGTCTCTCTCCTTTGCCTGAGCAGCCATCCTCCTCCTTCTCAGGGGGTGGTTTTCTCTTGTTTGTCCATCCCGTGCTGTTGAGGTTTGGGGTGCTGCTGACCACAGTTCTGGGTCTCGCCAGGGGGTGAGTTTTATGAGTGGGCCGTGTGTCTTGGCCTCAGCCCCCGCAACGTGAGCTGTTCTTGCCCTGGCTTATGAGGGTCTGGGCCTGGGTGGGGGACATGGGGTTCGCGTCCCAGTCTGTGTTGGGGTGGGGGATGGAAGCCAGCAGCCTGAGACCCTGCTGGACAGAGGGAGGGGGCTCCGGGTTGGCCTCTGTCCAGCGCCCCCTGGGCATGGGGAGCCCTGACGTGGACTCTGTCTGTCCTGCCCCCTCCCCATGCAGGTGGTACAAACTGCACTCCAAGGCGGGCAAGAAGGAAAAGGAGCGCGGCGAGATCCAGGTCACCGTCCAGTTCACGCGCAACACCCTGAGCGCCAGCATGTTCGACCTGTCGGTAAAGGACAAGCCACGCTCGCCCTTCGGCAAGATCAAGGACAAGATGAAGGGCAAGAAGAAGTACGAGCTGGAGTCAGCCTCGGCCATCATCCCCAGCAGCGCCCTGGACGACCCCGACCTGCTCGGCGGCTCCAGCAAGAAGGCCAAGGCCAAGGCCTTCTTCCTCCGCAACAAGCTGCGCAAGTCCTCGCTGACGCAGTCCAACACCTCGCTGGGCTCCGACAGCACGCTCTCCTCCACCAGCGGGAGCCTGGCCTGGCTGGGCTCCGAGTACCTGACGCGCTCCCCCAGCCGCCACAGCCGGCTGTCCACCGAAGGTGGTGAGTAGGGCGGGGTGTGGTGTGGTGTGGTGAGGCGTGGTGTGGTGAAGCGTGGCATGGGGAAGCGTGGCATGGCGTGGTGTGGTGAGGCAAGGCATGACAAGGAGTGGAGTGGCATGGCGAGGCGTGGCATGGCGTGGCGAGTCCTGGGTGCAGCCTGCCTCCCACCGTGGGCCCTGGGGAGGAGATAGGGAGTTGTGTAGGGCGCCCTCACAGGGGACACACACAGCCCTGGCCCTTGGGGGACGATGCCCGTGGTCTGACATGGGGGTCAGTGACAGGGAGAAGGCATGGAACACACACTCAGCTCCTGCTCTCAGGGCACCCCAGTCTGATATGGTGGTAGGGGGCTGCTCTTGGAAGATTGGCCAGGGCAGAAGGAAGTGGAGCCCAGAAGTGGTCCTTTCTTCCCTTCTCCTTCCACACGTCCACCAGCACCGTGTCTCTCTCTTCCCCTTCTAGGCAAAGACTCGGCTTCCTCCCCCAAACTGCTGACCCACAAGCGGGCCTACAGTGATGAAGTGAGCCAGGTGCAGGCAGGGCTGCCCCGCGCTGGCCACGACCCTGGCTCTGGGTCTTCCCTCTGCATCAATGGCAGTCACATCTACAACGATGAGCCGTCTGTCCCACAGGCCCACCGCGCCTCCATCTCGGGCCCCTTCCCTTCGGCCAGTGCCCTCCACGGTCTCTCCCTGCGGCGGGCCGAGGAGGGCACGGGGCCGTCGGACACGGCCCCCGGGGGCAGCTCTGAGCCGGTGGCCGCGGCAGGTGTGGGCCGAGAGGAGTCTGGAGCGCGGGCTGGCGAGGAGGAGGGTCCCCGGCGGGCAGAGGGGAAGCCCGTCCAGGTGGCCACGCCCATAGTGTTCCCATCCACGTCAGCAGAGAGAGAAGACGGGAGGAAGGAGGAGCGCAAGACCCGCGTGGGTCTTTTCCACCATCACCACCATGGGGCAGGCCGCAGGGGCTCCCTCGGGGAGAAGATGGGCCTGGCCCTGGGTGCCTCCCTACACCCTTCCTCCAGTGGGGAGGAGAAAGGCAGGAGCGGCTGGTTTGGTTCCCGAGAGGGGAAGGAGCACACCCAGAAGCCCAGGTGAGACCCTGGGGGTGTCGGCCATCCTGGCAGCAGTGGGGAGCGGGCCCCAGGGGTGAGGCTGTGGTCTGGGGGGGCCCTGCAGGGTCAGGGCAGGCCCCATGTGACGCCCAGCACCCAGCTCTGGGCCACCTCTCTCTCCAGAAGTCCCAGCACCTTCTCCCTGGACAGGCCGGCTTGTGCTGGAGGCATGGTCTGGTCTTGGGTTCAAATCCTAGCTCTTCTGCTTACTGCCTGAGTGACCTTGGGCTAATCCCTTCCTTCCCCTCCTGAGTTCTCAGTTTTCTCCTCTGTAAAATTGAGGGGGACTAGATCTCTAAGGTCCTTTCCGGCCCTCCCCTTAGCCTGTGCCCCAGAAGCCAGGGAGAGAAGGCAGGAGCCGAGGGGAGTTGTTGATTTCTGAGGGCGCTAGAATGCGATGTCGATTTGCCCCCTTGCCCATGTCCTCCCTCGGAGTCTGGGCACTCACCCCCCTCCCAATGCTAACAGCTTTAGGCGATCCAGACAGCGTAGAGCAGCATGCCCCGCCTGCCTCTGTGCCCCCTCACCTTTCTGTAGAGGCCAGATAGGAGCCCCGCATGGCAGAGGGGTGGGGGCCTGGTCCCATTTACTCATCAGCCCTGCCTGGGGTCCCACCCCAGGATCTGGAGGTTGGGGTAGAGCTGTGGGGAGGGCTCTCTGTGCAGGAAGCAGCTGATAACATTGTTTGCCTAGCTGGTTTTCCCAAGGCCCTCCTGGGAAGCCGCCCTACAATTTTCCTTGTCTCTGCCCTGGGCCTGGTCCCACTGCAGCCTCCCCGACCCCCCAGCAGAGGAAGTATGTGCTGCCCATCAGGACAGGTCCCAGTTAGGGCTCCAGGGCCACCTCACTAACTGCCGGAAGGGCTGGGCCTGAACCTGGGTGCCTGAAGTCTGCAAACAGCCCAAAGTGGGGACACTGGCTTCCTGCTCCCTGGCTGCTTGGCCCGTGTCCCTGCCGTCAGTGTCTCTACTGCTGCCTACCGTGTGTGTGTGTGTGTGTGTGTGTGTGTGTGTGTGTGTGTGTGTGTGTGGGTGCGCGTGTGTGCGTGCATGTCTGTGTCCATGTCTGTGTGTGTGTGTGAAACACAGGAGGGGGGGGGTGGGGAATGTAGGTGCGAGGAAGGTGCTTGACCTCCTGCGTGGGAAGGAATGGGGAGGGTGTGTGGGAGCCCAGGATGTACAGCCCCGTGGATGCTGAACCGCTACGCCCCGTTCCACAACAGCTCTGTGCAGGAAGCCGACGTCTCGGGTGCTGCTGTGGGGGTCTAAGCTGTGGCTCCCACCTTTGTAGGACCAGTGGGGCTGCAGGCTCAGGCTAGGGTGAGGAGGTGGGTTGGTGAGCAGGTTAGAGGAAAGGAGTGAGGAGAAGTATCTGGGAGCTGAGAATGCTTTTATGGAAGTTGGGTGGAGATGAAACTTGAGCTTGGTGCTGCCCTGACCCTGAGGAGCTGAGGAGAGACGGAAGGCCCTGAGAGATGCCTAGACTTAGCGAGGTCAAGCGCTGGATGGAGTGCTCGACCTGGAGAAGACCTGAGTGTGAATCCTGCCTTGGATCCCCCCAGTTGGGTTTTCTCTGTTGTAAGATGAAGCTGGGAGTTGGGCTCAGTGACCTCTAAGGTCCTTCACGCTTTAGATCTGTGAGCCTATGCGAAGAGAGGCAGCAGGGGTGGAAGGGAGGCCCCTTGTTGTGAGGGTTACCATGGGGGCCCATGGGACGCGTGAGCTTGAGCTGGAGCAGCGATGGGCCGCGGGGCTTGTCATGTCGCATCGGTGGGACCTGGCCCTCCTGCTGTGGAATCCCTTTCCCTGGACAGGATCTGGGCTGCTCCGGGCTAGTCTGACCCAGAGGCAGAGGGAGGGAGAGAGGGCTGATGGGTGGGGGGTGCCCAGAGGGGCCTCTGCTCCTTGGAGTGCCTGCCAGCAGAGCAGGCTGGGCATCTCCCTTGTTTTCCACCCCCCAGTTAAGCCCGGCTCTGCTCCAGGCCAGATTGCCTCAATTCATCGAGAGAAGGCAGGGCCTGGGTTTGAATTCCGATGCCCCCATCTCTTGGTGAGCTTGTCCAGGCCTCATCTTCCTCGGAGGGGCAGCCTATTGCTGCCTCCTCCCTGAAGCCTTCCCTGACTTTTCCCTTCCTTGTTGGTATTTTCCCCCACTCTCTGATTTTATTGTACTAGTGTAACCCGTGAGGGTGACCTCCCCCTCCCCCCAGCGCTGGGCTCCCTGGGGGTGCTGAGAGAGGCCTGTGTGGTCACCCTCTGAGCCCATGTGCCTCCCCCACTTCCTGGAGCGTGGGCCCAGCTGTCGGTGTGGGGAGTGAGGGCTCCGGCCTCCCAAGATCTATGAGTTTCTCTGCCCTTGTTGGCGTCACTGGGCCCTCCTTGAGGATGGGGTGCTGCCTTCATCTTCCTTTGGGGTGCCCTGTCCTTAGCAGGTGCCTGGTAAATATTGGTGCCCGTTCAGAGCCCCAGCCTCTTCTGCGCCCTCTCTCCGACCTCAGGGAAGAAACAGGTTCTAATTGTAAAAATGCAGGGGAGGACTTCATGGTGACTCCCTTCCTCCAGGGTCCTTGATCAGCCCACCTTTCATCCCCTGGAGGACTCTGTCCCCCTGGCCCCGGGGCAATGCCCTGCCAGGACTGGCAGGAGGTCACACTTACCCAGTGCTCCTGTCCCCTCCACTGCCCACCACAAGCTCATGACGCAGATTGCACAAGGGTTGTGATCCCCATCGTACAGATGAGGAAACTGAGGCTCATTTCTGGCCTAGGGTCACGTGGCTTCTGGCACAGAGTCCCGGCATCCTTCCCCTGCCAGTCAGTGCTGCCGGGCTCCGGGAGGGAATGTGTTGGGGGGTCAGGGCACAGCCTCGTGGACTTGGGCTGGACCCTGAAGGGAGGCAGATTGCCTCCTGTGAGCAGGGACTTGGAGGTAGGAGTGAGCACAACGTGAGGGCAAGTGAGTGCAGGCTGTGCAGAGGGAAGCCACCAATGAGTGTGGAGAGGGGCTTCAGTGCCGGGCCGAGTCTTCGGAATCCTGGGGTGATGGGGAGCCCCTGAAGATCTAGGGGCAGGGAGTTGATGGGACTTCAGGCAGCTTTGTTTGGCAGCTCTGTACTAGAGCATGTGAGAGCAGGAGTGGGGGCCTGGAGATGGGGTGAAGAGTTCTGGGTACAAAATGGCCAGGGCCCAGAGGGGATCCAGTGGCAGCTGGTTGTAACAGCTTGGAGCCCAAGTCCAGCCCTCTGGTCACTGCCTCACCTGGCTGCCTCAGGGTCACCCTGGGACCATTGGTGGAGCTGGCCTTGAACCTAGGGCATCTTCCCCTGCACCAAACTAGTGACAGGAAAATGTTGAGTTGGGGAGCCTGGGAGCATGTGACTTCTGCCCTTGGAGGCAGGGGAATGGCCAGGAAGGCGCCTTGGAGCTCAGAGTAGCTGCCTTCAGGGAGCCCTCCCCTGGGGCCAGCGCCTGACACCATAGCTATAGCTTTGTGTGTGTCTCCTGGTGGGGCAGGGTGGGGCTGGTGTTGTCCAGGCCAAGCTGTGGCTCCTCTTCCTTCTGCTTCCCTCCTCACTGGTCCCTGGCCCTGCCCTGCCCTCACCCCCCACTCCCATCCCCTAACTGGTGACTCATTCATGGGCTGGGAGAGTGGCACCACAGGTGAGGAGGGAGTGATGTAAGGTCAAGTCAGGGAAGAGAGTGTGGCCCCAGCCCCTGACCCCCTTCGCCCTGCCGCTGACCAAGCTGGGGGCAGCTGCCCTGAGGGCTGAGGCTTGAGCCCCGCTGAGGTAGGTGTCGGGGGTGACTAGGAACCTTTCAGAACCTCCTCTGGTTTTGGTCTTGTGGGATGGGGTCAGGGCTGGCTCCAGCTCCATCAGGGTTGGGCCAAGTGACCTCTAAGGTCTCTCCAGCTTGAAAATCCTGATTCCTCGCCTTCTCCCTCCCCCCTCCCCCCCCCCCCTCCCTAGCGAGCCCGTGGCTTTGTGCTTGGCGGGGAAGGGGGGGCTGGACCTTGTTGCTGGGGGGCTCCTGGATGTCTACCCCCCCAACCAAACCAAGAAAGGAGGGCCCTCTTAGTCATGTGAGCTAATACCTGTGAAGTGCTCGGCATTCTGGGTGGGCCTGGTTTTACTCAGCTGAGAGTGAGCAGGGAGGGCCAGAAACCCAACATGCGAGGGCCTCCCCTCCTAGGGAGGCTGAATCTCTGACCTTTCCCCAGCTTCTCCCGCCAGCACTAACACTGAGGGAACGGTGGAGAGGGAGGTTCCCAGAGCACTTTCCTGACAGCTCTGGGGACATCTAAGCTGTGGTGAGGGGGACTCTGGGCCCCTTCCACTCAGCCTTCCCTGTTCTCATAAAAAGGCCTGATCAAAATAATCGTCACTTAGATGTCAGGCTCCGCTCTAGCCGGCCCTTTGGGCTTCCCTGGCTTCTGGGCTCTAGCAGGGACCCTGGAGACCATGCAGGCGGCCCCTTATTTTACAGCTCAGAAAACTGAGGCCCAGCAGTGCAGTGACTTGCCCCCAGACACACAGCTAGTCAGTGTCGGAGTGGGATTAAAACCCAGGCCTTCCTGATGCTGGCCCTCCCATCTGTCCCACCTGGCTGTCCCATCTGTCCAGTGGGGGGGAGGGGGGTTGGTTGTGTCATCCTCGAGCTAGGCTCAAGCAGACCAGGAAACCTCTGGACCATCCCCAGAAAGATGGTCGTTTTAAAAAACAAGTTGCTGGACTTGTTAAGTGTCTGGGCAGGGTGCAGAGGAGGCCAGTGTTTTGCCCAAGGCACCCAGCCAGTGAAGGAGCAGAGCCCACACCATTATTCTTTCTAGTCCAGAGCCGAGAACTTTGGGGTAACCCTGGGTTGACTTGGTGGCCTAGCTTTTGGAAACTCACTTTACCTTCAGTTTCTTCATCTATAAAATGAGGATAATAATACAAGGTGGTTGTAAGAAAACTACTTTGTAAACCTGGGTCTCAGTTTCCTCCTCTGTAAAGTGAGGAGCTTGGACTACAGGAAGTCTAGATTCCTCCATCTCTGACCTCTGACCTCTCTAGCCCAGGTGTTGTTCATTTTGTGTCCCAACCCCAGGGGCATTGGGCTGAAGCCTCTTAACCCCCTCTCTGAACAGTGTTTTTAAAAAATGCATAAAAATATGCCTAGGGTTACAAAGGAAAACTATGTTGAAATCAGCCGTAGGGATCTGGGCGATTAGCGTGTGGAAGGTGCCCTAAGTGTATGTCAGTGGTGCTGTGGCCTGGCTTGCCTGTTGCCCACGTCATGTTGGGTAGTTTCAAGCTTGGATGCGGGGTCAGGAAGGCCCGGGGTCAATTATGAGAGAGCGCCAGGGCCTGTGATGTCACCGTTTGGGAGTTCCTGCTGGTGCAGACTGGGATGGCCTTCGGGGGCTTGGGCACTTAGAGATGAAGGGGTTGGTCCGGCAGGGAGGGCCATTAGGTATTGGAGGCCTCTCCGGTCTTAAGGCCAGGCCTCCCTCCCCTAATCCGTTCTGCTTCTCAGATGATGGGCAGAATCGTGTTCTGTGTAAATGTGAGAGGTGTGGAGCTCTCTCTGAGCGACGGTGCTGAAGGGCCTGCCCCTGCCCCACCCTGGCCCAGAACCCCTGGAGTGCGCTGGCAAACTCGCATGGCCTTGGAAAGCCGCAGAGTCAAATCTCCATGCTGTGCTGTATTTCTAGTTGCTCAGACACTTCCCATTTACATTTTAATCTGTTTGGGCAATGTGACCGAAGGGCTCTAAGCTGCCGAGCAGGCCCTGCATGGGCACAGGGGCTTTCTTCCCTAGGTAGGAGCTCCCTCAGCCATCAGGGTCACAGATTCAGGCAGAAGAGGTCGCCCCATAGTGGAAGGGCTGGTGGGAAAGTGGACGACTTTCAGTGATGTCTGAGCTTGGTTCTGTAGAACTGGGTCCTTTACAGGAAGCCTTGGGGTCACAGCCCGAGGGGGTCATGCTGGGTGACCCCTAAGGCCTCTTCCAGCTCCAGATCTTCGTCCTGTGATAGCACCATGCTTCTGGGCTCTCCTTGGCCTGGGGGGGAGGGGAGCATCCAGCGCTGCCTCCTGTGGCCCAGTCCTGAGCAGAGGTGCTGCTTTGGGGACCGTGATCACAGCTGCTTCATCTTCTCCCGGGGAATCAGTGGGCATTTGTGGCAATGCCCCTTGGTGGTGGGTGGGGTGCCCTTTCTGGCTTCATTCCCAGGTCCCCAGCTGTAGCTCCTTGTACACTTACTAGTCACTTAATAATGCTGATTTGTGGACATCAGAGATCCCACTGCTTCACCACAGAATTGGGTCTTGAGTGAAATCTCTCCCCACCCCAGCCTCAATGGGGCTTCTCTCCCGGCCCCACCTGCCTTTACTATGGAGCCAGATTGTTTTCTCTGTCGGCCCTGGGTCCTGGATCCTGGGTCCTGGGTCCTGGGTCCTGGGTCCTGGGTCCTGGGTCCTGGGTCCTGGAAGGGTCTGGGGAACGTTTGGGTCCACACTTTCCTCCTCACGGCCCTGACCTTTTAGTGTACCTAAGTGTGTGTGCGTTTTTGCACGTGTGTGCATGTGCCTGTGAGAGTGTGCACATGTGTGCATGCTAAGTATGCATGCATGTGTGCGCATGCTTGTGTGTGCACGTGAGTGTGTGCATACATGTGTGCACGCTCATTGGTATGGGTGGGTCTGCAGCAGGACCAGACATTAACCAGGAGGCCCGTGGTTTTGTCTCCTTCCGCAGCCTGGACGTGTCTCCTCAGGTAGAACCTGGCCCAGATGCGCCTGCGCCGCCTCCTCCGGGCAGCCTCCCCTGCCCCCCCCCTGCTCCTGTTCCCGCTGCTGCCGCTGCTAGCATGCTAAGCACTAACCTCTTTGCACCCGCTGCCGCCGCCACCGCCTTTGCCTCCCCCCCTGCCCCCTCCCCCAGATGTCTGGGATCTACCAACCCATTCCTCCCCTCCCTGCAGAGCAACCCCTTCTTTGAGGAGCTCGTGGCGGACAAAGCGTTAAAGTGTGCTTCACCTGCTCGCTCTCTCCCCAGCGGCTCGCTGGTAGCGGCCCCCACTGCGCCCTCCCTGCCGGAGTGGGACGACACCTTCGACGCCTTTGCCGCCAGCAGGCTGCCCCCCGATGCTGGGCACGGACTCTCGGCCCCAGCCGCAGAGAGGGGGGCCTTGGGAGCGCTCCAGGCCGGCGATGATGACGTGCAGATGGCAGGGTCTCAGGAAGCTCCCAGGGGAGGGGGAGGAGGCTCAGTATCGGCGCCAGAGGCTTCCGGACCCCTGAGTCTTGACGGCTGGAGTGTGGCCCCTGCTGGCTGGGAGTCACCTGTGTTTCGAGGACCCAGCCCCTCCTTAGCAGCCGAATGGCCCTCACCGAGCCGGGAGCCAGAGGAGGAGACCCCCTGCCAGCGTCAGGAAGCGGACCAACACCCAGAAGCCCCTGAGGCTGCTTGTCCCAGGCCCCGAAGAAGAGTGAGCGCTGAGCAGGAGAGGTCGCCTAACCCCGGAGCATCCACGGAGCCTGAGGAAGAGCCCAGGAGCGTGGAAAGCCACTTTTTCCAAGAGTTGAATGTGGTTACTGATCTCTGGTCATCAGAGATGGTAAACATCCCTCCTGTGTCCAGGAGCCCCCCTCCCATCCCAAAGAGAAGCTGGGAGCAAGAAGAGAGCCTTTGGGGGGCTCTGGATGAACCCCCCGGCCTTCAGGAGCCAGGATCCCCAGGGCCACCTCCAGACTCTGCAGGAGACGTGGACAGAGAAGTCTTCTCACCACCCCCTGACAAAGGGGAGGGGTCCCCTGCACCAGAACCTGGCTCTCCTCCACCCAAGCCACCACGCCTTTTCACACCCATGAATTCCCAGAATGAAGAGGAAGAAATGAACCCAGGGGAGCTGAGCAGAGAAGGGACAGAACTGTGTGTCGAAGACATCTGCCCAGGCCTTCCGGCTCTCCACCACCAGGATGAGATGGAGGGGGGTGCCTTGGGTGTGGAAGAGCTCGAGATCTGCCCCACTGTAGACCGTCCAGACCAACGTGCTTCAGAAGGGGACTCTGTCAGCTGCTGGGACCCGGTTCCCCGGGTCCCTGAGCCCGGCTCTCCACCAGCTGTCCTGGATGTCCCTTCCCCAACACTCACCTCACAGAGCAAAGCTGGCCAGAGCCAGCATTTCTGGGCAGTTCAGGAAGCAGAGTCTCAATTCCTTGGCATGTTGGGGACCCTCCAAGACAAACCTGAGCCCCCTGGCCCCCTGGTGACTGCTGGTTTGGAGAAAGATCCTTTCTGGGCTTCTGATGATGATGATGATGACACCTTGAGCTCCTCCTTACCTCGTGGGAGCCCAGCTTCCACCATCCTTCCAGCCTTGCTTTCTGCTGGGGATGAAGCTTCTCCAGAATCTCCCAGCCTAGAACTTGTGGCCCCTCAGGATCCCCTCCTTGCTCCTCCCCTCCCTCCCCCTCTCCCTTCTCCATGCCCAGCCACTAATGTGAGCAGGAAGCCTGGCCAAGAATCCCTCTCTCTGCATGGAAGCCGGCCCTTCTCCTTCTCTACCCCGGCCCCGATGGACTTCCCTGCAACCCGAGGCCCCTTCGAGTTCCCCTCGCCCATCGAGGGCTCCTCGAGCCCACAGTGGGGCATCGAGACCCCTTCCACCCTGCTTGCGCTTCTGCCCCTGGAGACACGACCAGCTGAGGAGCCTTCGAGCCAGCCTGGCGCCAGGTGAGGGGCAGGGGGGTGGGGCTTTTCCTAGGCAAATCCCCTGCATTCTCTGGGCCTGTCCAAAACGAGGGCGCTGGGCTAGAGAGCGATCATCTGAACCTGAGGGCAGGACAGAGCCCAGCCCAGAACAGTCCTGGGGGCCAGCTTCTGAGTGAGGTTGGTCTGACGGGAGTAAAGGAGGCTTGGATGGAGGTGGGATGGGCTGAAATCCAGAGTAGGTAGCCCATGTGAAGAGTCTGGTCCCTGTAGCCACTGGCAGTAGAGGCCAGGCCTCGGGGAAGGGAAGGATATGGCCCATCCAGCCCAAGTAGTGCTGCCTCCATGGGAGGAAACGGGGGTCCTCTAGTGGGGAGGAACTGGGGGTCTTCTGATGGGGAGGAAATGGGGGTCCTCTGAAGGGAAGGAAATAGGAGTCCTCCAGTGGGGAGGAAATGGGGGTCCTCTGACAGGGAGGAAATAGGAGTCC